AAAAAACTGAACTAATTTTGATCTTTTTATGGGAAATAATAGTTCTTTCATTTGACACCACCTATTTTGTCATGTCCCTCACGGCCTTGATGAAAGTTTACTTTGAAAATACCAAATAAAACTATTTAAAAAGTCAATAAATGTTGGTATCAACCTAAACATCTATTTGTGCTCTTTTGCTGTTAATATTTATTTTTTTCTACTTTAATTGTTAATTATTCATTAAAATCACAATTATTCCTGTACCTGACTAACCCTTCAACCCCGTACATGAATGATCCCACCCCCATAAATACAATGGTGCGATCCAGAATTCCATATACATCAGGAAGTGACATCACTGAAGTCTTTTGGACAACAGGACCGCAGAGACAGGCAAGTTGCTCCATTCTTTTCCTTTATTTTAGTCATTTATCTTCTGATATTGTGGTCGTCAACCTCAACGACTCAACACCGTAACATGAAAAAAGATAGAAAACTGTTACTTATGAAACAGTTTTTTGTTAGTTCATGAATATTTGGTGAGTTTGAATTTCATGCATGCCACGTGCTCTCTGTCTGGTATACACTATATTAAGCAGCGGCCAGTTTGTGCAAAAATCTCAACCCTGTTATGTTTTTGATTGTAACGGGGTTGTGAGATTGTGATGGGGTTGAGATTTTGATTTGAGTTATCCAATTATTTGAATTAATTATTATTATATTCAATCACCATTCTTATACTGCGTGCATGCTGAATGTGATTTATGTTCCATGTTAAGGGTGGCACCAACAACAGCAGCAGAAAGGCAAAGGAAGTGTCGGGAACGCCTGAAAGCTGATCCTGAAAGAAGGGAGAGAAACCTGAACTCATTCCACCCCCACGGGCTGTGACAAAGTGTGGAAGTCTTGAAAGAGGTGTGGAACCGACTCACAAGATGAATTCATGAAACAACCGGCACATTCATGCATATATGCAGACACACTGATGCAGGCACACACATGCAAAACACTCGTTAAATCGTTAACTGATTATTGTTATTAGTTCAACCAGTTCATCAAGTTTAATTGTACGTTATCGGAGGTGACTTTTAGCACAACTCACTCTTATGCCTAGAGACACGCGCACGCGCACACGCACACGCACAC